GAGACAGACAGCGAGAGAGAGAGACAGACAGCGAGAGAGAGAGACAGCGCAAGAGAGAGAGACAGACAGCGCAAGAGAGAGAGACAGACATAGACAGCGAGAGAGAGAGGGCGAGAGACAGACAGCGAGAGAGAGAGAGCGAGAGAGAGAGAGAGACAGCGAGAGAGAGAGCGAGAGGGAGAGAGAGCGAGAGGGAGAGAGAGCGAGAGACAGCGCGAGAGACAGACAGACAGCGCGAGAGAGAGACAGACAGACAGCGCGAGAGAGAGACAGACAGACAGCGCGAGAGAGAGACAGACAGACAGCGCGAGAGAGAGAGACAGACAGACAGCGCGAGAGAGAGAGACAGACAGCGAGAGAGAGAGACAGACAGCCAGCGAGAGAGAGAGACAGACAGCGAGAGACACAGACAGCGAGAGAGAGAGAGACAGACAGCGAGAGAGAGAGGGCGAGAGACAGACAGCGAGAGAGAGAGAGAGAGACAGCGAGAGAGAGCGAGCGAGAGACAGTGAGAGGGAGAGAGAGCGAGAGACAGCGAGAGGGAGAGAGAGCGAGAGACAGACAGCACGAGAGAGAGCGAGAGACAGACAGCACGAGAGAGAGAGACAGACAGCGCGAGAGAGAGAGACAGACAGCGCAAGAGAGAGAGACAGACAGCGCAAGAGAGAGAGACAGACAGCGCAAGAGAGAGAGAGAGAGACAGACATAGACAGCGAAAGAGAGAGAGAGAGAAAGACAGACAGCGAGAGAAAAGCATCAGCCTGTGTATCTGACTCAGATGGATATACTAAGCAAATTGGCTAGCTGGAATAAAAGCAACAGGAGAAATCTATTTTGTTTATCGTCCAGCAACCTGTCGGCTGCAATTGCTCTTTACAGTCCTGATTCTCTGTGGTTTTCTTCATATCCTTTAATATCCGTTGCTTCAAAATATCTATATTTTCCTTTTAAACACTCTCATAAACTTTGCATCTTGAGCAAAAAGGAGAAGCATGGGGAAGAAGGAGCAAAGGCAGTGGATTGGATGGTTTGAATCTGAGTGAAAAAGAAATTCATTAACTCCTTCCATTTTTTGCTAGAGGCAAGACAGGTGGCAGCAGGATGGAGAATTTATGGAGATGTTAATACTGAAATAAGGAAGGTGAGTTTATTCTTGCTTTCAAAGATGTATTTGAGCTGAGGGAGGTTTTGGTATAGGGAGTGAGGACTATGATCACCAGATTTGAGCACTAAGTCAATCGAGCAGATCAACTCAGCACCTGTAAAACCCAAGTAAGCAAAGATGGGGATCATAATGAGAAACTAACTGGTTAGGAGACAGTAGGTGCAGATATATCACGGGTGGGGATAAGAGAGTGATTAAGCAAGATGATGGCTGCAGAGTATTCTGGTCAACTGACAGCTGAAGGCTAGGAAGTTGGGAGTCAGAAAATACAGAAGGTTCGAATTATAAGGTTATGCCCTTGTTCTATTTTCCACTACTGAAGGCAAGAGTCTTTCCCTTTGTGATGTTAAAGACCTAAATCAATTTATCTCAAACCCTCTTTTTCACCGATAATTACCCAGCATATATACTATCCTCATAATGTAGACTCTTCATTCCAGGTTCATGTTAGACTTTCTCAGGCACTGTACCCTTCCTAAGATGGGAATCCAAAGAAAATCCAATACTTCAGGTGCAGTCCAACGAGAGCTTTGGATAACTATAGTCATGATTTTAAACTTTTATTTGCAAACCTCCTTTGTGCTGAAACTTTTGTTCTAAGAAGGATTATGCAGGGTTGCAATCTGATTGATAACTGTGGGGGTGGTGAGGGGGTTGAGAGAACATGCAATATTCCTATTCTGCAGGAAATGCCACATACTTGTCAACTTTATCAGCATTCTGCCTCCAGTGAGTGATATTCTTTCGCCAGCGAACATTTTCTTGGCTTCCATACGGGCTCCTCTCTACAACAAATTGGAGAATATTTGATTTTGATCAACTGTCTCTAAACCAAAAAAAAAGCAAACGTTAATTTAAAATACACTCAAATTGATTAACTCACCTGAATAATGTACTGGGTTCAATGATGACTGAAATACCGCTAGTTTGAAAGAAGGGGCTATGAACTGAACTGCTGTTCATAAACTGCATGCCAAAAACTGGGCCACAGAATCAGTTAAGCAATTCTGCTCTTTTTGACATGCACCACACAATGGAGACCACAGCTGGAGTTTGATAAGATGCTGACACGACAGAAAGTACTGATATTTGACTTTTTAATAATATCTCATGTACTAACTGATGGTCTCACTTACAGGCTGTTCCATTCATTCAAGGATGTGACACTACAGCATGAACATCTGCTGCAACACCAGCTACTTGAATTCTAATAAAGGTCTGAATAAAGAGATAGAACAGTTCATTCTGGCTTCATTTAACCAGAAAATGAGAACGAACTGGGATCGAGTGGGAATGTGCACTGATCGGCATACATTTGACATTGATGTACCATTGACTTCTCTGCTCCCTCCCCAGTGGCTCAGATGGTTAAGTTGTTGAAGTAGTAAGCAACTTGGGAGGTTGTAGGATAATTCCCCTCAGTTGGATTCTGCAGTTAGTCTCAGTGCATCTGTGATCCAGAATGGAAAATCAGTTGGTATGTTCCATGGCTACCAGTTACTATTACTTGGAGGGGATGGAGGCAGGCATTGAGCAAAGGACGTTCACTGTCCAGTCTCACATGAACAACAGCCACTTAAGCACGGCACAGAACAGCAGCTTGTGCCTGCAGCACTTTACTGCAGCCAGAATCAGATGGAACAAAGTAATGGATTGGTTTAAAGTCCAAATGTAATAAAACAATGTTTTGGCACAAAATCACTAGTCTGCCACATGCAGGCAAAGGTAATGAGTGAATGCTTAAAATGCTTATTAACGGGAGAGAATTTAAACAGAGTTTTACTTACCGCGACTCCGGCGCACCATCTCTTGTCGAGCTCCTACAGTGCCAAGTATGGCCTCCTCCAGTCGTGCTTTCATATCCTGGGATTTCTTAAATGTCAGGCTGTTAATCCGCTCAAAAGACTTCTTACCCTGAAATCAACAGATCAGAAGCATTCATTTAAGGGACTTGCTGAAATTGTTTTGCTTTTGTGGCAATTTGCCCTGCGTTATTTGGAGAAATGCAGGTGCATCTTCTGTGGCAACAGACAAGTAGACAGGGAGTTGCATTTTCTTACTACATCAGCCTATCAGCATGCTAACAGTAATTCTCCCATAAAGTCATCCCACCTATGAATGCAGCTAGACAGACACAATTCACTAAATCTTACAGCAAAGTGATTGTTTACAATGTGCAAAACTTTTAATTCTATTTCAAGAGAATTTTATGATCACATAATTAAATATTGTTCAGAAAACAGAGCCAAAATGTTAATAGAATGGCAAACATGTCTCATGCCAGATCCAACTGGGAGGCTTCCCCACCGAATAAAGTAAAAGGATGACTAAAGGCTCAATTACTTTATTAAGAAACATATACTGTAAAACAAAGCAAGGATGAAAATGGACAAGATATGGACAGATACATGAATAGGTAATGATGAGATAATGACCCTAAGCCTAGGGGCCAGAGGAAACAAAGGCCAAGATATTTGGCACCAGGCCCACAGGTTATCCTGATCAACACGGGGGTATGCCAGGCAGATGCACCTCAAAATCCCTAAAGTGCCTGGGAGAAAGCAGTCATGGGGATGAACAGAAAGAAGTTGTCCCTCTACATAGAATGGAAGTAAATAGCGAAGAACTGTTCTTCCAAACAGAATTGCTCTCTCCCATATATGCTGCTGATAGACTCACTAAAGTCAGTGCTGGCATTAAAGGAGTTGCTTGTGAACATCGTTAGCTGTGGCCAGGTCAGGGAGCTGGGAGGGGTGGGGGTGCAAGGACAGCCTAGAGCCACCATTGGCAGGAACACTGGGGCCTTTTGATGAGGCTGGAAGGGTTTTTCAGGGATGCCCGAGTTGTGCCTGTTGGGTCCTGGATGGCGGCATCAGCTGAGGAGGGCAGGGGTGGGAGGAGGAAGCAGGAAGGACAGAAGAGTCAGCTTTGGGCAGGCTGAAGCGGTGATAATAAATACATCATGCATCTTAATACACTGCAAATCAGAATTTGGCAGTGGAAACTGAGGGCCAATACTGAAATTGAACTGCAGCCGCAGACACCCACTCACACATCACAGGCCCCACATCTCCACTCTTCTGCATGCTTACTTTATATTCGAAGCAGAATATGCAGAGGTTTAGCAAGTCTAATAGTCTGTTTAACTGGAACACTGACAAGTCAGTGAACCACTTCTGTAGGATCCCTTCATCCGCATTCTTCAGGACCCACAGGAAACAGATGAGAAGGATGCGACTTGATTCGGCTGACAAGGTGGAATACTGCCGGCTGGGCTACAAAGACAGAGAAACTTACATTAGAAGTCACCCAACTGCAGCATCTATTACATCCAAGAATTCAGTAGTACCGGATGCAGTTGGCAAATGGTACAGACTGTTTTTAGAAAGGCTAGTAATTCAGTATCATGGAGTTTTTACAGCGTGGAAAGACACCCTTTGGCCCATCATTTCAGTGCCAGTCATCAAATATCCATTTCTACTCCCATTTTACAGCACTTGGCCTGTAGCTTTATATGTTACTGTGTTTAAAATGCTCAGCTAAATAACTCTCAAATGTCTTTAGGGTTCGTGCCACTATCACCCTTTCAGTCTGTGGACTCCTGATACCCTCAACCCTCTGCGTGAATTTTCTTTGCCCCTGAAATTCCCTCTAAACCTCCTGCTCCTTACTTTAAAACTGCACCCCTGGCTACCTACCCCACTAGCAAGTGGAAACATCTCCCCCCACCCAGCTACACTGTCTATGCCTCTCAGAATTCTGTATGTTTTCAACAGATCCCACCTCATTTATCAATGGAGATCAGAGACTTTGGCTAAAATAGAAAATGTTGTCAATTAAAACAATTCCTTTCACCTGCACCCAAGCAAAGATTAGTTGAAACCAATTCTTAGTGTATGGCGTATTGGCAAGCTAATATTCTGCTTGTGCTCTGCTAATACTGCAGATTGTTACCGTGATTTGGATGTTTCCACTGTACAATGCCCCAGTGGATTTCCAATCTTACCTACCTTCATGAGAATGGAGGACAAAGAACAATATAAATGAGTAAAATTATTCAATCACATGTCAGCCTGAAACAAATCCGAAACCCCCCCCAACACCCATTAGAGAATTGAAATGTCCTTCAACTGATTCCAAGTGTTTAACTCAGCTACCTTTACATTCTGCGCATCAATCATCTGGAACCTGATGAATTGGTTCAAAAATTCTCTTTTTCCCTATCTTCAGCACTGATTTTTATAGTGCAACCAAACAGAACGTTCACAATCACACTGTTACAGTGGATTGATGACTTGCCAGCTTGCACAGTAGAGAAGGGATATTCAAACAGGAAAATATTTTCAGGAGGTCTGACATTTTCTGCTTGAGTCAGAAAACATCGGACTCAGTCCTCAGTATATATATGAATGTTGCAAAACTAATACTATGTTGAATTTGATTCCAATTGCACAATGGATAAACGTACTGGGACAAAGACAATTGAAGTAGGGGGATGGGCAGAGATACCCGATTCAGCTATGATTACAATCTGCAACAGTCAATTTGTCTGAGAAACACCAAGTACTTGACTCACCAAGAGGCTGCCTGGTACTGCCTGTGTGTTTAACACGCTCATTGTACAGAAACAAAAAAAAAGAAATAAATTCAGTGGAAACAAACTCATCCAGCTGCTCTACCAATACTGATTGATGTCCTACCATAACTGGAAGCTGGAATGGGGAGCTTCTGTTTGGGTGAGGTACAGGCGACCCTGCTATTGCCATGGCGATTGTCTGACTGATCATGCTGCTGTTCTCAGTATCCACTTCATCCATTGCTGAGGCAGTCAGCCGGCCCTTCTGGTTACCATTTTCTGCTGGGAAAGGGAATTTGCTTTAGAAATTTATGCAGACCGTAAGGCAGTCTTTGTCAGGATATAACACGAATGGATAGTAATCTCCACTACTACAGACACTGTTCACAAACACACAATCACCACCTTTTCATCACTGATTGTAACCTTTTTAGTTTTTAATTCAACACTCAAGCCTCATTTTTTTTCCTCATTCAGGCGTTTTGAAGGCTGTAATCCTTTAGATTTCTTCCTAATTTCCCTGATGCTCACACCCTTGCTCCGATAAGGATTTCTTATTCCCAGGTTTGTCTGTCCCAGGTAAATCTCATACTCCTCTACGACCTTGCCCCTTTCTATCTGCATAATCTCCTCCAGCACCACTACCAGCAAAAACTTCTGTATGTTAGCACCTTGGGCCTCTTGTATATTCATGATATTCTGCCATCCACCACCGGTGGCCGTATTTTCGATTACTTAGACCTTAAATCCTTCTGCCTCTCTCCTCCTTGAATACACTGATTAAAACTGCTCTCTTTGACCAGTTGTTTAGTTTTGTTTTAAACTTTGTCAGAGATTGATTCTGTACAGCGAGTTAAAAGAATTTATATAAATGCAAGCTATCCTTGTGGCTCTGAACTTTTTATGGCAAGATCCATGTCTTCTCTAAACAGTGGAGAAGATCAAATCCACACAATACCCTGTTCTCAAATTGTTGTTAACCTAGATCCTCCATGATGTTGTGAAACTGTAAAGTGCTTTCCTACCTGTAAAATCGTACAGCTGTGGCAGGGTGTCCATAACAATGCCGATTAGTGGCAAATACAGCTTAGCAACATGGGCTTTCACCTCGCAATCAGTGTACCGAGGGTCTGCATCGTGGCTGCACATTAGGTTATGGATTGCACCAATTGCTTTTTTATGCAGAAAGAACAATCTGGAATAATAAAGTGTACACACGTAAAGGTTAACCTATCCATAGACTGCAACAGTGAACCTTCTGATGGTCCACCAGTGTTGTCACAAATACTGGACGTTGCCTTCATATTGCCTCCGTCTGAACCATGACAAGTACCTGACAGTAAAAACAGTTGTAATTACATAGTAATCTGTAATTACATAGTACCTCGTTACGTGGTTATATCTGTAAAACTAACGTGTGTCAATAGTATCCCACAAAGACACAAACATTCTGTAATCTTTACGGAATTATCTGGTTCAGCTGGGCAGCAGTAAGCCACAACGCACCATTTTGCAGGCATTACTGCCCAGTGCAATCATTGGCACACAATGCCTCAGTGATAAATTCTTTGTGGCACTCAATTTGAGAGTAGACCTTTGTTCATTCGGCACAATATCATTACATCTAGTGATGCTGGGAAGTTTACATTTAATTACTGTTTTCTTACATTTTTCTGGATGTCCCAATGGGTTTCACATACTACAATTACTTTGAAGTGTAGTTTTAGTTTAATGGCCAAACAACTGTCGTTCTGCCAGTGTTTAGATCCCACATGTATCAACAAAGATAAGTTTTATTAAAAAAAAAAGGGCTTGACTGTAGGATGAGTTTAAGGTATACAGCAAGACTTGTAAGCGAAGTGCTTTGGGACTTCCTGGGAGAAGTTATAAGACACTACACAGATGCAAGTTCACTGTCAAAATTACTAATACAGCACAGTAAAGGAAAACCTGTGCTCCTCTGATGGGTTAGTAAACCACTTACTTCACTTCTTTTCACTCAGAGGCTGGAGCGACTCAAATATGCTCGTTCCTCAATCTTTTCATCACTTTTCCCAATGGTTTTGACATTTCTACTGAAAGCTACAGAGGTAATAAGGATCCTCCCGTGTTGTGCTCAACAGGCTATAGCTCCCAATATGAGCCTCAAGAACCAGTAGCAATTTTGGAGCTATCAAAGCATGCTCAATCCTCAGCCAATGCTCACATACTGAGGTTTCCAGACAGTGATTGGAGATGCATTTCTGAGCCTCTTTATTGGTCTCTGCTTTGGCATAAATACAATCATGTACCAAAAGGGGCACTCATCTGAATGTTTTACGCCACATAAATATCATTGCCTTCACTCTGTTTGATAAGCGAGAATGAGTAGCTTTTACCCTTCGACATCAGGTTCTAGGATCAAAGCTAGTTCAGTCAGCAGTAATCCCACGAGAAAGTGCTGTTGTCGAAAAGGTACAGACATTTCAAACATGTTGGCTATCTTCTGATCTTGAAGTAGTGTGGAAAAGCCCGAACTCTGCAGAATGAAGTAGAATTCCAGTCAGGCACAAGTCAAATACAGTTCATGAAACATGTTCTCACATGATAATTTTACTTCCACACTTGTTTTGTTAGAAAAGAATTTAGCCCCTACTTAGCACTATTCCAAGAATGATTAGTTAATCATTTTTGAAATTATATTTTACATTTATCGAGCAATTTATCACTAGTTGATTAATAAGATGTGCAGATAACCTGGCTCTCAGACTTCAGCCAGCCGTATCTCAGAAGCAGCCTACAACATCCACTTGCCACCTTACCCATCGGACCAAAATCTCAAGCCCACCATGAATGCTCATGCCAGCCAGGATGGGTTCACAGCGTAGTTTTGCAAGTTGAAACTGTTGCGCCCAATGACTATTATTTACAAATGTCCTTCAGAAGTGTAGGACACATAGCTCACAGGCAACAAATTTGAGAATTCAACCAAGAGAGGAGGAATGACCCAAGGATCAACAGTAGATTAATCTGTGGCAAAGGAACTTATCGTCTGTGCTGCTTTTAAGATAGGGTCTTTACAGTTGTTCAATATAGACATATCCAGGAGTAGTACTAGTAAATCACATACAATGATCTCAAAGACACAATAGCTTAGACATTAAGCTGGCTCAGTGAGGATCAAGACATCTACACTGAAGGTTCGAGATTCACCTCATTGTACTGGTTTTGCTGACTTCAGCTGAGCAATTGGCCCTGGGTTAAATTGAAAATAAAAGCAACTAGTGTTCCTCTCGTTAAAGCTACTCAGTGACCCCCTTCTCAAAACTACGGCTATGGGCATCAGGAGAGGACAGGGTCAGCCAAAGAACCTGCCTGAATGAAGCACCTGGCGTCGCAGTGAAAAACTGCTAATGAAGCGAGGTGGGAGCTAGCTAATACCAGAACGGTTATGCACAACTTGAAAATGGGTGCTCTTTTATGAAGTTTCTGGATCCTGATCTAACAACAGCACAGGTAGACATCTGTGAACACATTGTCAGCAGAGATGGGATGAACATTAAAAGGAACAATGATGCCTTTGGAAAATGCAAAGTAATCAGCTCATTTTTAAAAATTAATCTGCCAGCTTCAGCTAAAGTAAAAAGAAAAGTCTAAACTACTGACGGATTTTTAAATGTGATTTACACAGTTTTTCAGTTACACCTCTATCTTCTAGTAATGTCAATACAACCAATTATAACCCCTTCCCAAATTATACCTGAAAGAAGCTAAAGAGAAACTCTGCATTTGTTTAATACGTTGAAGACCATGGAAAATATAACAGAGGAGGCCATTCGACTTGTTGTGCTTGCCGTTTGAAAGAGACATCCAATCAGTCCCAAATGCCACTGCTCTTTCCCTCAGCTCTGTAAACTTTTTCCTTCATTGATTTATTCAAGTCTTTCTTGAAAATTATTACTGAATCGGTTTCTGTCATCCTGCCAACCAGTGCATCCCCAATCATGATAATTTGCAGGGTAAAATAAATTCTCGCCCTGACTGTAGTTCTTTTGCCATTTACCTTAAACTTGCATTTGAAATTCTTATTGGTGCCACACTATTCAATCTTACCTGGGAGGTGGCTGAGGAGACTGATGGGGATGGAGATGCAGGAGGAGACAGGGTGCTGCATGGGAGATTTAGTGTGACGTAGTGTTCATGACAGCAGATAATGCGAATGAAGTCCAGTCGCAGAGCAATGAGGGCATTTGGGTTCTGTGAACTCTGCAGTTTATTATTGACCTTTAGAAAGGAAAAGGGCAAGAAAAAATACAGACAGCATTAACTCAAACCTGAAATGACACTGATCCTGAGCTACTCCAAGGTACAAAACTCCCCATACCTCATCATTACTGACATAGAAGCATAGAATTTTACAATACAAAAGGTTATTCAACCCATCATGTCTTTACCAGCTCCTGAAAGAGTTACCCAGCTCATCCCATTCTCCAGCCCTATTTCTACAGCCCTCTAAATTCATGACTTTCAAACAAATATCCAGCTCCGTTTTGAAACCTCCTATGGAATCTGCCTTTACTACTCTTCCAGGCAGTGCATTCCAAGTCCTAACAACTCTCTGACTAAAGAAGTTTCTCCTTATCTCGCTCCTAGCTCTCTTGCTGATAGATCCAAAGTTGTGCCCCAAGTTACTGATATACCAACCAGTGGAAACAGAATATTCTTCGTTCCCCATCAAAACTGTTCATAATTTTGAACACTTCAATGAGGCCACCTCTTAATCTTCTCTGCTGCAAAGAGAAGCACCCCAATTTCTCTAATCTTTTCTGGCGTCTAAAATCCCTCATTCTTGGTATCATTCTCATAAATCTCCTTTATACTTTCTCCCAGGCTTTAACATTCTTCCTTAAATAAGGTGCCCAGAACTGAACACAATACTCCAAATGTGGCCTGACCAATGATTTGTAGAGATTTAGTAGCAATTCCTTGCTTGTTTTTAGGCCTTTATTTATAACAAAGATCCTATAAGCCTTCTAACAACTTTTTCAACTTGTACGATCAGAGAATTATGTATATGAACCCCACAGTTCCTCTGCTCATCTCTGCTGAACGCCCATCAAAGTTGTACCATTGACCCTGCCCATCATTGCTCCATTTTTCTTCCAGCAAAATGCATGACTTCACATTTTTCGGCATCGAATTTCATCTGTCAGGTGTCTGCCCATTTGGTCAACTTGACAATGTCTCTCTGAAGTAGGTCAGCATCATCCTCACAATTCACTATTCTTCCTAGCTTAGAATCATTTGCTAATTTAGAGATTTTGCCCTCAAAATGCAAATCCAAATCATTCATACAAATCAGAAAAAGGAAGGGTCCCAATACCAATCCCTGGGGAATACCACTTTCAACTCGTCTCCAATTTGAGAAATGCCCATTTATGCCTATCCTCATCTTTCCTATCTTTTAGCCAATTTCTAATCCATGCTGCCAGGTACCCATCAATCCCAAACATTTCTAATTTGCTACTCAACCTGCCCCGTGGCACCATATCAAATGCTTTCTGAAAGTCCAAATATATAACATCCACAGCACTACCCTCATTCATTGCTTGTGTCACCTCATCAAATAACTTAATTAAATTGGTCAGACATGGCCTGCCCTTGACAAAGCCATGTTGACTGTCTAGTATTTTTCTCTAAATGTTTACTTATCTTATTCCATATTATGGCTCCCATTAATTTTCCCATGAATGATGTCAAGCTGACAGGTTTGCAACTTCCTTGGTTATTCTTTGCCCCTCTCTTAAACAATGGCATCACATTTGCAATCTTCCAGTGTGGGATTAATCCTGTGTTCACAGGGGCCTGGAAAATTTTTGTCAATGGCTCCGCAATTTGCTCCCTTACCTCTTCAATAATCTTGAATGCATTAAATTGACTGACATAGAATCAAGTTTTTAAATTAGATGTTGCCAGACCATAGCTCAGTATTGATCAAAATCAGATCTCATTTCCCATGTGACGGGAGTTCAATTTCTGGCCTGTACTATACATGGCAAGATCAGGTCACGGTCAACTTCTAACAACCATTTGATGAAGGAGGAGACCAGAACCTTTACTCATGTTAGAATGATTCACAAAGTGAAATATTGCATGTGCACAGCTCCCAACACTACTCTCAATTCCAATGTTCATAAGTGACTCTTGTATATGCTCAAATAATTAGTGCCCTCTACCCATTTATCCTGACACTTAACTTAAACAATTACCAAAGCAGAATGAAGAGAAAAGAATTATTTGTGATTTATTTGCTGTAGAATTAGAAATACATAGATTGACAAATGCTTGCTTTATAGAAAGTACATTAGAGACAATTATTTCACGTGATATTAGGTAGTGCCCTTTTTGTCTGCTATCCTGCCATTTCTACAATTTATTGATGATGCCAAACATAGATTCGATATTAGCAGTGGAGAAATCCCTTGACGTCATTTGTCAATCAAATTAGTTGTTGTCTCACCTCCTTCACATTTTTGCCAAGTTTGGTCAACAACTTGGAAAATGTTGAATGGAGGGAAGAAAATGAAATATAAAAGTTGATAATGGATTTGGAAACAGACAAATGTTTAAACAGAACTTCAAATGTTCCAATTCTCAAAAGAAAAGATCACTGACTGAGCTATTAACCTTTGTTTCTCTCTGCCTAGATATTCACTGACAAGCTGAGTGCTACCAGTATTTTCTATACATTTCAGATTTTCAGCATCCATCATGTTTTGCATTTGAGCTATAAATGAAATTGCCTGTCCATGCTGATATCCTCCAGCTCCGACATTTTTGCTCAAGTGCTCAGCATTCATGCACAGTCTGCACCAGAGTCAAATATTAAGGTATGAATATCCAGGAGCGAAAATTGATTTTGTAATGGACAAGGGACAGACTGTATTAAAACCTTCAGACTCTTGTGCATATTTTAGTCTTGTCTGATGTTTAAATGTGCTTCCACCTAATGGGACATTAAAAAGTAATGGAAGTCTTCACTGTACAGCAACTTCAGGTTTTTATGTTTCTCCATTTTCCAGTAGGATGCAGCAACCCCAAGTGTCAGATAAATGTAAATTCCCACCCAAGTAAAATCACCCAGAGATACACAGATAAGCGGGTCTCTTGCATGCTATTTCAGAGGCGGAAACTCAGCTAGCAATTCCAGTGGCTTTAGTACTCAAGATAATACCTGCTTGTAGTACATGCGGATGAGGCTGAAAACATATCCTCGGTCCATCAGGGAGAGTAAATCATTCAGAAAGAATGCCAAGCTGGTATTCAACCGTTCCACCAATTCAATATCCTGAAAAAGATGCCCATACACACAGAAGAGGAATATCACAAATACTCATGACACTAAATCCATTCACAGCATTAGAAGCTGTTTACCAAAACAACAGCTTATAATATTCTGCGTAAGCTACAGTTAGAAACACATCAACACCCAAACAGTGTTGGAGAAATGCAACTACTCCCCTGCTCCCTGGAGTTCAGCGACATGTTTGATTTGTGCAATATGTTACATTATACTAAAAACGGTGCAACACTTACCTTGTGGAACCTGCTGACAATGTCTGAAGTAATCATGCTGACTAAAGCTGTAATATCATCCACAAATCTCTCCGGGAATCTCATTTTCCTCGGGGCCTCAAACCTGTCTGAAAGGTGGAGATGATGGCCCATACTTTTTACCTATTTCAAATGTGTACAAAATCAACAAATTAAAAAAAAAACTCTAAAACCATTGTTGTACAAGGGTAAAGAGAAAGAGAATATAACTACACATAACTCTCAAACTCATTGGTGAGCAGCCACAATGCATTAGTCACAAAGTGATAGAATAAGTCCTACATTCCTATGTAATAGGAGGTGTGATGCAATTTCCCACATGGTGAGATGCTAATTTCATGCAGGACCATAGGGAAAATGTTGACTGATGAGGCAGGCATATCCCCACAGGTGAAACATCAGATGTGAACAAATTAGAAAATCTAATGCAAATGGAGCCATATACTTAAGTACCAAAGCACAGCATCATTGAACGTGCAATGCAAGCCAATCAAACACTTCCCAATCTCATCCATGGGAATAATAAGAAAGGCAGAATCAACAGGATCAAGCCATAACTGCAATTTCCTGTCAGCAGAGAGTGTTGACAGTTTGTTTAACTGCAGAGGGATTGATGACTGAGCCTATCTTATCTTCAGCTAATATTAACACAGGTTCACTTTCCAAGAGTCGCTCATTGATTATCTACAGCAAGCAGGACTGATTATCCAATCCATACTCCATGAGGTACTGGTGCTATTGTACTGGAGAGACCAGATGAAAGTCCAATATTTTCTAGTTTAACTTTTCCCACTATCTCAGCCAGCACTCCTGCTAGCAATGGTCTGAGTAATCATCCGCGCTGTCACTGGTGATAAAGGCAAGTCTAAATAGAAATGAACAAATTTAAATAGAAATCTTACACAACAGATGATTTTTCACAGAACTTAAGTATTTGTCTCTTCTGTTCTCTTTCATAATTTAAAGATAGCAAGTCACACTGATTTTGCATAATTGAACTGCAGTGACACTGGGCAATAAAACATAGAACAGTACAGCACATGAACAGACCATTTGGCCCACTATGTCTGTGACGACCATGATGCCATTCTAAACTAATCCCATCAGCCTGCACGCAGTCAGTCTTCTTCTATTCCCTGCCTGTTCACATGTCTGTCTAATTTCCTCTTAAATGTTGCTATCACATTTGCTTCTTCCACCTCCCCTGGCAATGTGTTCAGGTACCACCACTCTGTGTGTAAAAAAATCTTTCCTTGCACTGAAATAATTCCACAGAGGCCAGAATCCCATCACCAAGTCACCCTTTACTTACATGTTGAGAGTCCTTAACACTGATCCAGCTCCCTCAGAGGCAGGACTCAGAGTGAAGAGAACCTCTAACAGTCATGTTTAGGGCTCGTTGATTAGCTGACATTAACAGCCCCTGGTGGTCCGACAGTTGGTGACAGTCCCAGAGTAATGGGGGTGATCTGACAGTCAGTGACAGCCCCGCTGTAAGAGGGGTGACAGTCCCAGTGTAATGGGGCAGGGGGGGGATTCCAACAGTTGGTGACAATCTCTGTGTGATGGGGCGATCTGTCAGTCAGTACAGTCTCTGTGTGATGTTTTTTGCAGCATTCAGTTACAGTTTCTTTGTAATGGATTCTGCATCAGACCCCATGTAATGGTTTGTTGTGCCAGTCAGTGACAGTCTCTATGTAATGGTATGTTGTATCAGTCCCTGTGTAATGGTGTGATATGTCAGTCAGTATCAGACCTTGTGCTGGATCAGTTCATGACATTCATAGGTAATGGTGAGATGCCTAAATTCAAGACCTGTACTATAGTCATGGGGAGGGATAGGAACAGACGGTATGGGCAAGTATGGGGAGGGGGAATTACAATGCTATTAGGCATGAACCGCGGAGCATAAATTGTGAACAGATGTTCTCAGGGAAATGCATGACAGAAATGTGGAGGCTGTTTAGGGAACACTTGCTACGAGTGCTGGATAGGTTTGTCCCACTGAGGCAAGGAAGGGATGTAAGGTGAATGAACCTTGGATGACAAGACATGTGTAACATCTAGTCAAGAGGAAGAAGGAAGCTTACTTAAGGTTGAGGAAGCAAGGATCGAACAGGGCTCTAGAGGGTTACAAGGTACCCAGGAAGGAACTGAAGAATGGACTTAGGAGATCTGGGGGGGGTTATGAAAAAGCCTTGGCGGGTAGGATTAAGGAAAACTCCACTCTATACTCATGTGAGGAACAAGAGGATGGCCAGAGTGAGGGTAGGGCCGATCAGGGATAATGGAGGGAAGTTATGTGTAGAGTTGGAGGAGGTCCTTAATGAATACTTTGCTTCAGTATTCACCAGTGAGAGGGACCTTGTAGTTTGTGAGGACAGGGTGAAACAGGCTGATATGCTCGAACAGGTTGATGTTAGGAAGGAGGATGTGCTAGAAATTTTGAAAAACATGAGGATAGAGAAGTCCCCTGGGCCAGACAGGATATACCCAAGGTTACTACGGGAAGCGAGGGAAGAGATTGTTGTGCCTTTGGCGATGATCTTTGCGTCCTCACTATCCAATGGAGCAGTACCAAATGATTGGAGGGTGGCAAATGTTATTCCCTTGTTCAAGAAAGGCAATTGTGATAATCCTGGGAATTACAGACCAGCCAGTCTTAGTTCTGTGGTGAGTAAATTATTGGAGAGGATTCTGAGAGATAGTATTTATGATTATTTGGAAAAGCACAGTTTGATTAGAAATAGTCAGCATGGCTTTGTGAGGGGCAGGTCATGCCTCGCAAGCCTTACTGAATTCTTTGAGGATGGGACAAAACACATTGATGAAGGTATAGCAGTGGATGTGGTGTATATGGATTTTAGGAAAGCATTTGATAAGGTGCCCCACGGTAGGTTCATTGAGAAAGTAAGGAGACATGGGATCCTGGAAAATTTGGCTGTCTGTATACAGAACTAGCTGACAGAGGGTGGTAGTAGATGGAAAGTATTCAGCCTGGAGCTCGGTGACCAGTGTGTTCCACAGGGATCTGTTCTGGGAACTCTGCTCTTTGTGATCTTTATAAATGACCTGGATGAGGAAGCGGAAGGGTGGGTTAGTAAGCTTGCTGACGACAAAAGGTTGGAGGAGTTATGGACAGTGTGGAGGGCTGTTGTAGGTTGCAACGTGACATTGACAGGATGCAGAGCTGGGCAAAGAAGTGGCAGATGGAATTCAACCCAGAAAAGTGTTAAATGATTCATTTTGGAAGGTCGAATTTGAATCCAGAATACAGGGTTAAGGGCAGGATTCTTGGCAGCGTGGAGGAACAGAAGGATCTTGGGTCCCTCAAAGTTGCCACCCAAGTTGATAGAGTTGTTAAGAAGGCATATGGTGTGTTGGCTTTCATTTGCAGGGGAATTGAGTTGAAGAACTGCGATGTTATGCTGCAGCTCTATAAACCTCTGGTTAGACCACACTTGGAATATTGTGTTCAGTTCTGGTCGCCTCATTATAGGAAGGATGTGGAAGCTTTAGAGAGGGTGCAGAGGAGATTAACTAGGATGCTGCCTGGACTGGAGGGCAAGTCTTATGAGGAAAGATTGAGAGCGCTAGGGCTCTTCTCATTGGAGCGAAGAAGGATGAGAGGTGACTTGATAGACGTGTAGAAGTTGATGAGAGGCATAGATAGGGTGGATAGCCAGAGACTTTTTCCCAGGGCAGAAATGACTATTACGAGGGGGCATAATTTTAAGGTGATTGGAGGAAGGTATAGGGGAGATGTCAGAGGTAGGTTCTTTACACAGAGAGTGGTGGGTGCATGGAATGCGCTGCCGGCGGTGGTAGTGGAGTCAGATACATTAGAGACATTTTAGCGACTCTTGGATAGGCACATGGATGATAGTAAAATGTAGGGTGTGCAGGGTAGTTTGATCTTAGAGTAGGATAATAGGTTGGCATAACACTGTGGGGCCGTACTGTTCTATGTTCTATAAGAAAGGCTTGTTAATAATTTCTCATTAGGAACTGATCCGAACACTCACTGAGCAGAGGGATAACCCGCAAAAAGTTAAACAATCTATTTTTGCCCCTGGTCAGATTCTGATACACTACATCTCCCGTTTTTAGTACGGGTGGGATGTTTGTGAATAATAATGATTCTGACTAAACCACTGCAATTTTCTCGTTATGCAGGCTGCTTGCAGAATTAGAAACACTCAAATATTCTTGAATAGCTGCTTATATATCAGGCTTTGAGTCATAAATTTTCTGCCCCACTTCAAGTTAATTGAGTGAACTAGTGTGGTGCAGGAATATTGAAACATGACCAACGCTTACCATAAGCTGGAAGAAAAACCAAGCCTGCTGTAAAGCTGCCTCTCGCACATTTGTGTTGCTGACAACCCACTGTAAAGTGAGCTCCTCATGGAGCAACTGCATAATACAACACAACAGTTAACAAAACGAACAGATCATTTGAACATATTACAGTCATTCTTTATTTGTTTAGTAAAAGCAGGATGTTAACTCAGATTAAGGACAAATCTAAAACAGTCTTAGAAACGTTGGAACGTTAACCTGCCAACTCTACTCCAATCTGCACAGTTCCCTGGCTGAGTTTACTTGCATCACTTTAGACTTTCTAGGCTTAAATGGGCCAAATTAATTTACACACAGCTCCATCTCATCAGTAGAATAACATGTCATTTGCTATAACGATATGAAACAGCTGCATCATTTGATTTCATGTCAAAAATAACAGATGTGCAAATATGTTTTGCATTTATTTTGATCGAATATTGGGAGGGCTCACCACTGAGCTGACTGAGACACCTATGCGAGTACTGCTGGAAAATGATGCTCCAATGGCGTAGGAAATTCCTTTATCAAACATACACACCTCACTTCAACCTTGCATCTTAATGTACCACCAACTATTGATAATGAATGGATGCACCATAAAATAGAAGCTCACCTGGATTCACAATATGGCTGATTAAGTTAAATGTAAATACATTTTGCCAGTAAATCTGAATCTGAATTTCTGTCTATCATTAAGGAATCTATTAAGTCTTGTTGGAGGTGTGCTGCAGGCAACCCAACAATTATCTCCCTAAAATACTGTGTTAGCCTCGAGAGGCTCAAGCTTGAGATAAGTTTTGACAACTATTTCAATTCTGCCCTTTGAAGCTGGTGGCTTGTTAGTTTAACAAATGAGTGGATGGTCTGCTATCTGACAGCTTTGTTATTTTTTCTTCAGAAGCAGTTAAATAGTGAGACAATTCTGTGCTGCTATAGGAGCACAGGTGTGATGTGGAATCCAGCAGGAGACTGGAGAGCTCAGAGGGCTTACTCCATCAAAACTGCTCCCTGTTTCAGATCTATATCAGCTCTGCATTATAGTAGTTCAAAATCAAAATACCTCCACAATAGTAATCTTAAATTTGGTGGATGGATCATCCTTCCCTAGGCACAGATCTATAACAGGCCGAAAGCTTGCTCCAAAAACCTTCGAACAGTCATTTGGAAAGCACAGGGTAACCATTTGCTAAGTATTTTACTTAGAAACCACCACCATCTTAGACCTCACTATACAAGGATACTCTTCACTTTCCCAATCTACTGTAAACCATAGAATTATTTGGTCTACCTTTTTTGTTGAAAATCTTGGGTGACTGTACTGTGAATGATTGAAGCCTTCCAGATAAGATGACATGCGGTTGGGACTCCGCTCAGCTGCCTGTGAAATGAGGGACAGGTGCAAGATGGTGTATAACAGGTATTAGTGGATGGGAAAAAAATGAGATGGTGAGTAAAAGATAAACAGTCAGCATGGAACAGGAATGAAGGATGGAGATAACCCAGGCCTTGTGTTCGATTTCCTGCTGGCTCACTGCCGACAGAAGACCTTTTAAACTAATACTGCAATCGGGAATACAGCAGCTACTGAACTATGTTATAAGGCTTTTAAAGTCAACCATGACTGTATATTATTTAGAAATGACACCACATTCACATTTGTGCATTCTCTCCATTCTAACCTAACATTTCAGAAACTGGGAATTCTGATTAGAAACATTTTGTCAGGCATTGCCAAATCTGGATTGTGAGCCTGTTTGTTTTAAGACTTGTAAAGGCGAGTGTTTGAGCAAATGATACATCACAGAATGATGCCAAGGCAAGGTTGGTTGATGTAAAGTTGCACCAGATTGGCCTCAACAGACAGACAGAAAAGAACCGGCTTAGGGTTGGAATCACAGCACCCATCACCTATCAGTGGAATGGACGGAATGAAAATAAAATGAATGAATCAGATGTGATTTGGACTGCATTTGTTTGTCCAAGTAGAAGTGGGAAAATGAGAAAGCAGTCTATGTGTAGGTTGGTGAAGATGCTTCGATGAATGCTTCAAGACGAAAACACCATTTCTGCACCTGCTTTAGATCACAGCTGGAATTGGGATGGTTTCTCCGCAAGACAGCCTTTGGCCCACCGGGAGCGTAAGCAGAATTAACCCAGGAGTGAGAGCGATCGATCCCCTGGCAGATAAGGAGGCAGGACAAGGAGGAAACACAAAAGTAAAAACAAGAGTCTAGATACAACAGTTATTCACAGTGAGAAGAGAGCGTTGCCAGCAGGGATATCACAATACACATTCCAGCATAGATGTACGTCACATATTAGCAAGGTTTACTTTGAATTTGTTCTAGAATGTTTTGCCTTTGTCTCTCCTGATTCAACTTATGTGACGTGATTTTCAATATAATAAACCACTGTAAATGAGCACTGATGCCAAAATAAATAAAAACAGAAAATGCTAGAAAAGTTCAGCACGTCTGGCAGCATCTGTGGAGAGAAAGCAGAGTTAACATCTCAGCTCGATTGACCCTACCTCAGAACTGATACTGACAGACCTGCTGAGCTTTTCCAGCAATTCCTATTTTAGTTTCCGATTTACAGCATCCGCAGTTCTTTCGGTTTTTACTGATGCCAACATCCCAGTCACAAACCTGAATGAAAATACAGACCTTCTAACTGTCAAAGTTAGACAACTGGGAGTGCTGAACAGATAGCAATAGATCCTGCCAGAATTATTGCATTTAAAGCTTTATCTATCAATTTAAAGGGAAAACATTTTTGGAATAGAATAGTTACTAAGGCAAGCAGATCCATAGATTAACCTGATTGCCCTATCCTCTTCCTGTATCTCTCAGTCTCCCTTCTCTGCAGAAAGACATAATTATCTTTAACTAATTTAGGCTGTCCACTTCAATGTATTTCAAAGCAATTTGTTTTAAAAATTGACTTTAGTTTGGGTGAAAACAGATGCCCTGATTTCCTTCCTAACTTGATTTTTAATCTGTGTCCTCTGGGAATTATCCTCATAATGGCAGTGGTAAACTTAGCTGGAACCATTATGTCAATTCCTCTTTAATTTGGATTAAAGATTTCACTGAATGTTGTAATGAACTGCTGCAGAGCCAAATAACTACAATCTAAGCAGGCAACAATGTTGGAAGATTGCACATTAAAAATAACACCTGAGGCTGTAGTCAACTTAATCAGTAACAGAGGTTTCAGTTTGCTGCTCTGTTAGTATGTAACTCTAATTTATCAAGAATGTTAACACTTAGTGCATTGAGCCAATGGTTCTTCAGCCTCTGATTTTCCCATTCTAGGTTTCAGTAGTCCAAATGTCTTTACTTGTCAACTTGAACAATCGAAAATTAAAATAAAAAATTTGCTTCCAATATTAGTCAAGGTGTTCTGCTGCTATTTCTCCCTCCCAGCCATTCATTAAAGGTGCTCATTTAAGATTTCGGTACCTGATAAGAGCTTTCCACTTGAGATTTCCATCAATAAACTAGAACTTGCCTCAACAAAATCTGGATCCAAATGACTTTTTTGGACAGGATTGAAATAAAAGGCAAATTTTCTAATTATTTTAAATCTTTATCGAAATAAATACCATAAGATTATTTTTAAATAAATTTGACTGTTCCTTGAAAAGGAACGCTAAAAAGTATGGGCTGTGGAGAAGACTATAGGATTAGACAAGATACCTTATGTCAAGGGAAATGCTATACATTTGATGGACCAAACAGCCCGTTTCTGTGCTGTGATATGCTGTGTTTTAAATCACAAAATTTTAGTCATGAAATTCAAAGACAAGTGGTCAATAAGAAAATAACTTCTCATTTTCATCTAAACCCCAAATCAAGACCACGTTTTAAATGTAAACTGATGATGGTTGTACATCACAGGACAGGTAATGCCTTATTGTGATATCTCTCATTCCCAATGCAGTCAATGTATCAAGGCTCAGACATGATCCATCTTTCCACATATGAACAACAACAATGCCATCAGTAATTAGGCCACATTGATTTTTAAATCAGCAATCACATACTGGCTCAATTAAACATAATGAATGCACTAGCAATTTTAACATTTAAGCCTTGAATGTTGACAGCTAAGGAAAGAAAAGTCAGAATTAAGCATAATTTGCAGAGTTTATTACCTCTTCGGTGCTGACTCATGTAAGGAATTTTCCCTTTTTGGAGACGAATTTATTCAGGTGCAGTTTATCGCAACAACACACTGGGGAACAGAGTGCACTGGCTTCACTTAATAAGCAAAAGCTAGAATCCAACTTCCAGCTTGCAAAACTCCAGAATATGAAGGCAAACAGTACACTCAGCTTGGTGCACTGCTGCCTTTTAATCATACACAATTTACAGGATCTTAATATTGTTTGATTTCCATTAATAGAGTGTATAATTTTAGTCTAGACGCTTTCGTTTTTACTGTCAGTGCAGTGCAAGTGCCTGCAACACCTTCTTAAAGAGTTGAGCCTTGAAAAGGCATATGAAGTTACACATGACATCAAAATTACAGAAACACAATTTAATACATTTGTAAGTTTTCTTATAAGAATAGTCAAAGAAAAATGATAATTCAACTCAACCAATTTATGTAACATCCGGACCAATCTGATCTATCCCATCATTAGCTCAATATATTACCAATTTACTGGTTTCTCCTTTTATTGTAGTCTTCCATTTTAAGAGTTGCAAAGTATTTCACTGAATACTTTTTAATGTCAAGAAATACAGTACCTCCCTATCACACATCTACCATTCTCCAATTCTGATGTGGTTTTAAGAATTCCGAGACATTTATTAGACGTGACCTATTTTTAACAGCTCATATTACCATGCATTTATTTCTCTATTTTCTCAAATCACTTCCTCCCAGACAGTCCAAAGCTATTTTATTTATTAGTACAGATGGCTAACCAGTCTAGAACTCCCAGAATCAAGATGCAACAGGGCATAGTGTATACATATCCAGTACCAATTTGCAGTTAAAGAGCTGTGAAAAATACCACTTCCATGTGTGTCCTAGGCTTGGCTCCACCTGTTCCTATGGTTTCACAACACAGCTTATCCTTACACTTGTTGCTAGAATAGGGCATGTTGTGTGCCACTACGAAGTAGAGCTACCCTTGAGAATCTCACACCCGTGCTCTCCATATACATGCGTCCTTCCTCCCCCTGCATGGTGGAATCACAATCATTTCCCTTATCTCAAAATTCTTTTAAATTGATTGATCACAATGTGGAACATTGCAAATCAATCAATTGGAATCTCTCTTTAAGCATATAGCTGTCGAGATCCCTCTGTGAAGTCCATTATTCTAAAGTGACTGCTAACTCAATTTTCCCTATCTGCACCATTACTAAAACTTGTTAACTTTAACAGTAAGGATCCAACATGAAACAATGCTTATCTTTAAAAGATTTCTGCTTCAACCATCATTTACATTTGCAAAGAGCAAGACAATCCTTAAACAGGAAGCAGCAGAAAGCTTTAGGGTCAGCGGTCTACAGGAACATAAAATATGCTGTAGTGCAATGTGTAAGGACAGCAATGTACAAGAACATACATACAGCACTGGAGGTAATGTACAGGAACAGCCACAAACATAGAAACACAGAAACAAAGAAGATAGGAGCAGGAGGAGGCCATGTGGCCCTTCCAGCCTGCTCCACCATTCATCATGATTATGGTTGATTGTCCAACTCAACAGCCAACTCCTGCTTTCTCCCCATAACCTTTGATCCCATTCGCCCCAAGTGCTTTATCGAGCTGCCTCTTCAATACACTCAATATTTTGGCATCAACTACTTCCTGTGATAATGAATTCCACAGGCTCACCAATCTTTGCGTGAAAAAATGTCTCCTCATCTCTGTCATAAATTGTCTGCCCGAATCTTCAGACTGTGACCCCTGGTTCTGGACACACCCACCATCAGGAACATCCTTCTTGCATCTACCCTGTCCAGTCCTGTTAGAATTTTACAAGTCTTTGTGAGATTCCCCTCATTCGTCTGAACTTCAACGAAAACAATCCTAACCTAATCGATCTCTCCTCGTGCGTCAGTACCACCATCCCCAGAATCAGGCTGGTAAACCTTCACTGCACTCCCTCAAGAGCAAGAGCATCCTTCCTCAGAAAAGGAGACCAAAACTGCACACAATATTCTAGGTGTGGCCTCACCAAGGCCTTGTACAACTGCAACAACACATCCCTGCTCCTGTACTTGAAACCTCTCGCAATGAAGGCCAACATACCATTTGCCTTCTTTACCACCTGCTGCACCTGCATGCTTACCTTCAGCGACTGGTGCACAAGGACAACCAGGTCCTGCTGCACACTCCTCTCTCCCAATTTACAGCCATTTGGAAAGTAATCTGCCTTCTTGTTTTTGCTTCCAAAGTGAATAACCTCACATTTATGCAAATTACACTGCATTTGCCATTGATTTGCCCACTCACCCGACCTGTTCAGATCAGGCTGAAGGATCACTACATCCTTCTCACAGTTCACTCTCCCACCCAACTTGGTTATCATCTGTAAACTTTGACATGTTACATTTTGTTCCCTCATCTATATCATTTTTATTGTGAATAGCTGGGGTCCTGACACCAATCACTGTGGCACTCCACTAGTCACTGCCTGGCAATTTGAAAAGGACCCATGAATTCCTACTCTTTGTTTCCTCTCTGCCAACCAGCTTTCTATCTATCTCAATACACTTCCCACAATCCCATGTGCTTTAATCTTGCACAAACGCCATTGGCTGTAGGATCTCTTTCTTTCTGTCACTCATATATATCTTAGAAAATCAGTGATACAATGGGACTGCACATTAAGCTGCCCCAAACACTGTCATGTGGAGTATCAATAACCTGCTGGAGCATGTAGATCTGGGGAAAAATCTGTAATATCAATAGTGCACAGGGGCAAATATGTTGCTGCCTGTGTCAGTAAAACTATTGTCCATTTTTGAGTTTTGATGCATAAATATCTGGCTTACTTTGCAACCCATAATTTTTGTAACCTCATCATCTGGTGTTGCTGGTGTTGTGGCAAGGTCTGGATTGCTGTTGCTGATGCTCTTGGAACGAGACAGGTTGAGACTTGTAGGCCTGGCAGTAGCACGGGATAAGGTGGCATACTGAATGGGTCCTCCGTAAGAGGGGTTGGTTGGTCCTGAAAAAGGAAAAGAAAAAAATCAAAATTCAGGATAGTCTGGCCACTATATTGGTTTAGCATCTTGGTAACAATGCAACAAAGAGAAAAGTTACACTTAAATAATACATTTTAGTGTGCCATTAAGCCTTAATTTATCCTCTACCAGGATTGAACATGACACCCACACCCATAAAGCACAGAAACAGACTCTTTGTTCCAACTCGTCCGTGCCAACCTGACATCCCAATCTTACCTACTATAATGATGAGGGGCTGTATCATTAGAAGTGTAACCTTTCACATAAAACACTGTGCAGATAAACATAATCAGCTTGTGCTACTATTTTGCAGAGTTCTTCCAGTTATCCTAGCCAATGTGTAACTCTCAAACAACACCCAGAAATAGATTATCTGATTATAATCACAATGTTTTTGAGAGCTTGCTGTATGCAATTTGGTTGCTTCAATCACTATAGTGCAACATTTCAAAAGTATTTAATTATCTCTAAAGTATTTTGGATTGTCCTGAAATCATGAAAGATTTGATACAAATGCATGTTTTTTCTATACTTTCAAACAGCGCCAACCATTAGTGACAGACCTGTAACTACTATAAAGTTGTGTACTTCAAAATGCTTTTTCCAGAGACAACATAAAACTGGAAAGCTAAAATCAGGCAGCTTGGAAGAATCATAGCAGTCTTATGCTGAGAGAGAAGATGGGGGCTCTGAGCTTACACATAACTTTACTGCATAACCTATGGCAATGCTACAGCAGGAAGAAGACTTGCATTTTACACAGCACCTCTTTTAGATCTTTCAAAGTAGTTCATTTAAAAGAAAGTCTCCAATTTCATAGTGCTTGGGATGTGCAATGAATGGGATGTTGCTGGTGTCACCCACAAGAACAATAGTTTGCATTTATGTGGCACTTTAACAAAATAAAACATCTCAACAGAATTCACCGAGACTGCGACAGAAAATCTGATGCTATGTCATGAAAGGAAGTATTACAAAAGGCGACTTAAAATACAAAAGTGGTCAGTTTTAAGGAATGAGAAGAAAGAGATAGAGAGATACAGATGCTTAGGGACTACATAACTAAAGATGTGGTTGAACATCCAAAAATATTACAGAGCAGTGACTTTCATCAGCCGTTGAGTTCACAGGATACATAAGCAAGGTAGTTGACCAATTAATACTTTTTATTATGTAACATGCTAGTTGAGGGAGTACATGCCAGTGAGCCACAATCTTTAGATAGTACCACAGAATCTTTGACAACCACCTGAAATACTGCAACAGGTTTAATGGATCATTTAAATGTCAACACCTCTACCAGCATGGTATTTCTTCAATGCTGCACTCAAAGATCAGCCTTGATTGTGTATTTAACTCGAGTGACAAATGGAACATTGAGGCAATGCCAGAAGTACCTCAATCAGTTGAGGATTTGTTTGTCTGTTCAAGTGAATAGACAAAAGCTGAAGTGGGCTGACATTCTGATTTGAAACCTATTTCGCCATTTATAATCAAATGGCAAGACATTTTCAGAAATCAAATGGAAAAAGGATGAGAACTCTAAACGTATTTCAAACTTTTGAGAACACTAAAAGTAGGACACTATTACAAAGTATCACTGCAGAAGACTCAGTAAACTAATCACAGGGTTCAGTCCATAGCATAAACTATAGGCATCTTATAAATCTCAGTCAAAAAGATAAAATTACTGCCATGAATGAAACAAGTGGATTTATTTAGCTGGCAGTCTGATTCTTGTAAAAGATAACAGCATTGCCTATTGTCATGAAGCTGTTAAGCACCTTTATATAATTTTCTTTCAAAACTGGATTACCGAAACACCCACTTAGTTCTGAAAATGCAGACAAGAAGAAACAAGATGTAACTTTTCTGTGCAACTGTTGAGAGGGAGAAAATAATTATGATTTATACCTCTTGAACATTTTGTGAAAGTATCAACTGAGAATCATGAGATGTCTGAAAGTTCAGGAGACCTGAACGGTGGGACTTCTGGGCATCCAAAATCACGAGGATAGATCTATGAGGTAGTCAACATTTGTTACACCTACTGGACTCACCTGCTGCTATCTGAGCAGTACACTGGCAAAGTTCTTCACTTTTAGTTTACACATTTGTGATCTGCCCAGTCAAATATGCATGACTGGTGTAACTATCTGAGCAACCCCTAGTGGCCAGTCCAAAGCTTAGCGAACAGCAAGAACAATGTTTAAATCAACTGTGCATACAGGTTAAGATGAAGTCACTTTCATAAATCAAAGTTGAAATTTAAGCTCACTTTTAGACACTAGACCAAGATAAGAATTCTCCTACTTACCAGAATATGACAACTGAAATAACAAAATCCTCATCAGACATAACTTGTTAAAAGATCCAGAGCGATTCCCACATCTTGGGGACATTGCAATGGATATGTTGAACTTAATGAGTCTTTACATAAGCTCATCAAAAAATAATTTGGAAAACACTGTTAGTAAAATTCATAATCATTGCACTGAACTGTACCATGCAGTTTCTTTATGTCAAATCACATTCCATTAAAAACTGTATTAAGTCTCTGACGGTAAACTCATGCTTTTCAATATTATTAGACATCAAAACATCAAGTTAGCTTTCGCGCGCATGCACTTTCGGCTCCTATAGTGTTGGATTCATCAGTTGAGATGGGGTTTCAGAGATCAGAGATGATTGGGTCAGGGAGCAGCATGTAATTTTGTCCTCATTTTAAAATCAGACACTGCCCTACTTTTTAAGATTTCCATTATAAATCTGTAGCTGACATTTGATAATGGATGCTACAAATGCATATTGTAGCCTTAGGTTCTCACTGAAAGGACTAAAGTTATCTTGATAGTAATGAGGTGCATGGTTCTCAACAGCCTGCGGAGATTTGCATGTTATCATAGAATCCCTACAATGTGGAAACAGGCCACTCGGCCCAACAAGTCCACACCAACCCTCCAAACAGTATCCACCCAGACCACCTAGCCTGCACATCTTACGCCATTACACAGTGTATATTTATACATACCGGAGAACTGGGGACAGCGGTCGGTGTCTGGAAGATGAAACATGTAGTATATATAGGATACCAGCAAGCTGTTGCGCCCATGCTGATCTTGAGTGCCTTCCAAGTTCTTGTGGATCTGATTGACGAGTTGAGCCATGACCTCAAAAGCAACTCGACCCAGGTTTACTAAAATGTAAAAACCCAGAGGCTCAAACTTTATTTTAAGTCCCTATAAGAGTGAAATCATGCTGCTTGATATCACATAGGGCTGGTTTAAAATTTGCCTTACTTTAACATGCACATTAACACATTCAGAAATAGGTTAACACTGTTACTTACAACTGCGAAGACTGCAAGCTGATTTGGCACAATGTGATTTCATCTCATTCGAGCCTTTGAAGAGGTCTCAGTAACTTTCATATCATGACAGAACATTAAAAAATCCTCCAGATTGCACAACAATTGGGAGAATTTGAATTATCTGGGTTTGTAGTATGTGGAATTAACTACCCAATTTGTATGAGATGTGTTTGAATTATGCCAATGGTCTCTAAATTGGACCTTCCACATTGGATTGTTTAACAAACAAAATCAAAGAGCTGCTTGGTGGCAAAGACTGAAGCTGTGTTGGAGCTACAGAAGCTAGTAGAATTGAGAAAAAGGTAGAAGCTGGGCAAATTCTGTCGCTGGAAAACTAGAGATACGCCTACACTATAAATATTGCCAGTCTCCCTAAAGGAGACCCCTTATATGACCACCCCAACAACTCACCATGCAGTGCTAGAACATTGATATTTTGAATCAATGCCGAGCTGATATTCATACAATAGGCAAGACATCACATGCAGTTAACCACTGAGCACAGCAATGGAGAGAAGTAAAACACCCAGGCTGTGGGAGGTGAATATAAAGATACACAAGAGTTCCTCCATCAGGTCACAGCCAATGAATGAGACTTAGAGACAAAGCGAACTTGTCTAGCTTGACATAATTTGCGTGTAGGGGAAAAAAATTTTGAATAATAGTCCCCAGGACTAATTTTCTTGTCATTTTGCAAACCTTGAACGATACACGAGGAGCAGCTGAGAACAACAAGTAGCTTATGTTTTCTGTCTTCATACCTATTTGCCCATTGATAACTGGAGGGCGGACAATTAAGAGGATGAGCTTGTTGAGGACATGGTGCACAAATCGGAGCAGTGGCTCCAGCCTTGCAGATCGCAAGTTGGTTATACTGGCTTTCAACTCCGTTTCCACATTATTCTCAGAGATTATGACATCCTTCAGCCGAAAAGGGAAGGAGTATTCCTCCAGGACATGCACCAGAGTGAAAAATTTATCCAAAAATTGGTCCTAAGGACAAAAGAGAATCACTGGTTAGACAAGCAGAGTGTTGGAATCTCTGAAATAATCCTCTGAAGCACAGAATACCCTTTGCCCTTTCGAATGCACTTTACTCAGTGCTCCCTACAACAGATTAGAAAATCTGACGGAGTGTCAGCATTATTATTCTGGGGCCTCAACAGCCTCATACACATGTTTCTCTCTTCCCCCTCCTCAGCCCCACCACCAAATTTAATTTCTTCCCTCATCTAGCAAAGGCTCTTGGTCATGATAGAGTTTCACAAATGCCTAATACCATTTGATGATCCACTATGGCATGAATGTTGACTATTTAACTGTGAGGGGTCATTAGAAGAAATCCACTTTTGTTTTCTATATACCTACTTTCAGCAGAGACTTGGGACTCGGTCAGTTTTTTGTTCACTAACCTAACTGTCCTGGCCCATGCTGACTGTACAGCTTAGGAGTGCATCCAGGGTTATACGGCATACCAAAAGTGCAAATATCTTCTGTTGAGAATACCAGGTGAAAGATAAGAGCAAACACAAGACAACAATAGGAGGAGCAAGAGTAGACAGGATTCCACATAATTGGAGCTTAGGAAAAATCAAAACAACTGGAACTCAGAGGCATGAGCTATAGTGTGCCATCAACATGCAGACAATAAAGCTGAGGGGGGGAGCACATCTAGATAACAAGTTTTGCCTATTGTGGAGCTCACAGACATTAGAACACTTCTCAAATTTGAGAAGTACAAATGTATGCACATTTTGAACACGGGATGTAGATTGCAGCCTTCAAAGAGGAATGAAATAAATAATTTCAGGAGAAACAAAATATGAGGGTATTGGTAAAGATTGGGAAGTGTATCTGATGGGTCATATATTTCAAACAAATATCATAGCCTTCATAGGCTAAGAGGCTTTCCTTCATGCTGTAACAGTCTATGATTCTATGACAGAGGGAGTTTTTGGAGGCTGAGCTTCTTGGAAGCTCTAGTAGCGAAAGATGTGGCGTGGAAGTTCAATTTCAAATCATGAGATAAAGTGCTTGAAAAAGCAAATGGATCATAAATTCAGACAAATTCCAGGTACGTGCCTCCCAAAGATTCACATCATAGAAGGCCATTCATGCCACTGGCCCTATCTTCTCTTATCCCCAAAGTCCCGCAAATGATTCCTCTTCAAATATGCATCCAATTCCCTTTTAAAGTTACTCCATCACCCAGTCAAGCAATGCACTCCAGAACATAATTTGCTGCAATAAATAGGAAGACCTTTTTGCTCATGTCTGCAATGTTCTTTTGCCAATTACCTCGAGACCTGCTTTCAATTCTAGGTGAAATACTTCCAGAAAATACCGAGTGCTCCTTTTGAGACAATCCAGATTGTATACTTCTGTGATGTTCGCACTTTCAGCCCAAGGCTAAATAAACATTTGAAGATGGTTGCAGGGCAAGTTCCCAGCTGAGTTTATTATGTTACAACGACCAGATGAAGGAACAACAAAAGTATAATTTCTGAGTGACCTTGATGAGTCACACAATCTTATAGCTGCCAGAAATATAGTGATGGTAATCTTCAGTCAGAGAATTTTATGTGACAGCATTGCCTTAGAAACTCTTCAACAACATTGTTATAAAACAGCACAACGGTTTGACATTTATTCTGTTTTTCTCTAGGCAATTCATAATCGTCTGTATTTACAACTTTGTGACAGATCAGCTAAACTGTCTTGTGAGCCAGAGATTTCTGACCATAATGCCTCTTTCAAAGGGAGCTGAGCTATGCGAGAATGTTAAGAGCTGGAAGGCTGCAGGTTCATCTAAGTAAGGTGAACGTACCTGGGTATGGACTGATGAGGCTGCCAATACTTCGACATTAAAAACTCCTTTGTGGTTATCGACCCACTTCATTCCAGGCAGTTGGACCTATCGAAATGATAAATTGAAAAAAAAAATTATAACTACATTGATCAAGAGCATTTCTCAGATGCCTCAGAACACTTGATAAAAATCAAGCAAGTTCGAAGCCCCAAGATGTCCAACTAACACATTGCAATGAAATTCAATTGGGAGAGTGCATTCAGCCAACTAAAACATTGTGAAAACATCACTGCAGACAGATTAAAGCTTGGAGCAATTTCACAAAAATATCTGTGGGTCATCCAGATCACCCCTGAAAGTGTATAGACTGAATTTGTGCCCAATAATAACATATGGTTTGCTTTCAAGAAAATCCATTGCAGCCATGGCAACGCTGCCACATAAACTGCCAGGTGCAGTAAAACATAAAGTGAACTTGGTTGGGAAAATAAATGGATGATTAGGGATGTTGTCTGTTTTCACTCAACAAGTTTCTCGGACATTAGACCAGATCTCAGTTACAAACTGTGAAAATGTTAAAGGGGTTTAGTACACAGAAATCTTAAAATTGAATATTCCACTCCAAATCTTCTATTTACTATTATCTTCTATATGTACTCAAATCCACTCCACATGTATATGTTCAAAGCTTCAAACGTTTGGTCTAGGAAGCCCAGAACCCGAGCTTCATTAAACCCCGTGTGGTTCCACTTGCACAGAAAACTAGAAAGGTAACAACTGAGGTCCATAACACTTGACTTTGCTGAGGCTAACAACAGTTCAGTGAAACAGAAGATTAGTGATTCAGGGACATCATCTCTGAGTTTTGTAAAATATAATGTGCAGGAAGAATGGCAGACTGGCTTTGAGGGTTAAGAGACAGATCTTTGAGGAGGAGATGCAGCAACAAGTCATTATTTCAACACAGAATGCAGTACAGTGGAAAAGGATGAGGAAGCAGAAGGGTAAAACAATATATTACTTAGATCATACTTACATCAGGAGTGAGCACGGAGTAACTAGGAGGTGGCTTGTCCACTGACACTGGGAGGCTGAATGATCCAGTTCGGAGGCGGCCGTGTTGCATCAAGGGGATCCACTAAATGAACGGGTTACAAGATTAGAATCTGGACAGTTATCAGCAACCTTCATCAACTCGAAACATTGAATTTACCACCACTATTGAGGAATTAATGGTGGTAAAGAGCTTGAATTCAAGTGATTGACAAGTTGCTACACTCCTCTGGCTTCCACCACAATTGATGCACTCCTCCAGTTTCAATTACATTTGCTACCTCCACTCAGGGAAACTCAGACCTATTTTAGTCAGATGTAGGACACCAGTTTAGTGTCTCTATATATGCCTGCTGGAGAGATGTACCAATCCAGTACATACACTCAGGCCAGGCATCCCCAGATCAGTTTCCTACGGAGATGACTATCCCACAAAGAATCATGTCACTCCAGGGAGCAAACGTGCATTCCCAGTGACTCTGACAGAAAAGGAAACTAGACAAATGAGAAAACTTAAAAAAAAAACTGCTACTTTTTCCCCAATGAATCAAGCAACATTACTGATATACAGTATTGAATAATTATCCAGGAATACATACCTGAAACTACAGATCGCTTCTCTTTGAAACACTGAAACGTGGTACACTGTAACTGATAGTCTGCATTTTAACTTCTTTCTGCTTATTATTTATAATTGTAGTTTACTCCATGACTGTAAGCTTATTAGAATCAGTTCAATCTACTTCATTTTTTAAAAATTCACTCATGGTACGTGGGGGTTGTTGGCTGTACAAGCATTTATTGCTCATCTCAAGTTGCCCTTGAGAAGGTTGTTGTGAGCTGCCTATTGGAACCACTGCAGTCCGTGAGTTATAGATAGACCATAATACCATTAGGGAGGGAATTCCAGGATTCTTAACCAGCCACACTAAAGGAATAGTTAACATTTCCAAGTCAAAATGCTAAGTGGCTGGGAGGGGAACATACAAGGGCTGGTGTTCCCATATATCCGCTGGCCTTGCCCCCAGAGATGGAAGTGGTCATGGGTTTGGAAGATGCCATCTTAGGAGCCTTGGCGAATTTCTGCAGTGTGTCTTGTCGGTGGTACACACTGCTGCTACTGGGAGTCGGTGGAGGAGGGAGTGGAAACCTGGAAGCCTTCCTTTGGGGTTCTTCACAGTGCTGAATTACAAAGGCCAATTTATTAATTCACTGTTACTCACTGTGTAGCCAACTGGTGTCTCCAATGACGAACTGGGTTTCTGCTGACAGCTAATGTGGTAGAAAGTGAAGAGCAGGTGATGGTTATCTGTCAGGTTTGCTGGTATCTTCATTTTTATTTCCTCATAAAACTCTGGTGATCTGCAAAGGTCACACAGTATGTCACAAATAAAGGCAGCAGAACGCTGTAGTCATTGCGCAAGCACAAGTACCACTACCACATTCAATTTCATTCCACTACTTGGAAAATGTTTTACTCCCCACTAGCCACTTAATGAAGAGGACTTAACTCCTCCACCAGTTCAGTGGATAAGTGCAATTGTGTGTGTAGTTCAATACCACACTGAACTCTGTGTGACAGCCACTTAAAAAGTGCCATCTATCATTGTTTTCCAGTGACATTTTTGGGACATGTTTGTGCGCGGTCAATTGGGACTGGCTTTGATGGCTGAAAAGCTTGCTGGCAGTCACAGTCTACATTCCTATGGAAGAAATGAGCATTTTGACCTTTAGAAATCTATCAGTAATGAGGCATCGGGAAAGAATGAAATAAAAGTTACAACAGTCCCACAGCCTGCTTTAGTTTTTACTTCAAGTTACTTTCTGTTTGTCTCACCACTTGATTAATTTCTGTCCCTTGTTTTCTTCAACCACGTTTTCAGTGTTCAGTTACCATTTCACCATCATGATGCAAGTCTACTGGGATTAGCACTGTATGAATTTGTACAGGGTAATGGGAGAGTAGACAGTGACCCTTGAGCAATGATATTTGAGAGTTTGAGATTAGATTGGACCCAGGGAAATCACTTTAGACAGACAGGCTTTGTGTCAAAGCTGCAGGTGGTAAAGTTAGGATTGTCAATTTTACTGGTTCAACTTCTGATTTCAGCTTATCAGATGAGGGCAGCAGGTCATATTTCAAGCCATTTATCAACACAATTCAGATTTCCTATTTGTGATCACACTACACTGGCTGACTGAAGCCTTTTTTTTTGTTTAAGCTCACAGTGCTGCTATTTAGTCCCTTACAGAATTTTAGACAATTGCCAGTTTATAGCAATGCACAGGTTAAGAGACACGCATTCTCATTGCCATAGTCAGCTGCCTTTCACTGGCGGAAAAAATACTTAATTGCAAAATGGCAGTGACACAGTCAAGAAGGAAGTTAGCAGCATGGAGGAAGAATGTATTTATTGAGGGAAAATAAAATCTACAATTCATTAGCCAAAACAGCAGAATCTGTAGAGGCTGTAATACATCTGGGGTAGATGGTGGCACAGTGGTAATGTCACTGGGCTAGCAATCCAGAATTCCAGACAAACGTTCTTGGGGATGTGGGCTCGAATCCCACTAAAGCAGATGATGAAATCTGAATTCAATAAACAAAAATCTGAAATTAAAATCTAACTTATTGGCGGCCATATAACAATCGTCATAATGCCGTTCAGCTAGCACATGACTTGATTCAAGGACAATTAGGATGGATACTGGTCTAGCCAGTGAAGCCCGCATCCCAAAAAAGAACAACAATAAAACATGTACTGAATTGTAAGGTTCTGCTGAGACCAGTCTTCAATAACTCACTTGTTGTGATACACCACAGCAGAGTATGCTTCTTTAGAAAATTCTGCACAGCTAGACTTCCCAAAGATAACCTGCATTTATACAGAAGAAACAAATGGTCAGAGATGGCACTGGGCTAGAGAAGCTCTGACTGATACACAACAGACAACAGGATCTAAACCGCACGGAGTTCAAATGACAAGTTGTGAAGAGAATAAGGGACTAATCATTTATAACCAAGACATGGAGAAATTACTTTACTTAAAGTGTTGAGAATCCATGGAATGCTCCAGCCAAGAGGGTTGCAGCTGCTCCATTATCAAATATATTTAGTCAGATTTATGGTCTCTTGGAGGTAATGAATATGGGAAATGGGTAGGAAAATGGAATTGAGATCAAAGATGAACCATGATCATACTAATTGGTGGAGCAGGCTCAATAGGCCATACCATCTACACTGCTCCTATTTATGGTGTTCTTGAATTGGTATTTTGGTGGGCTTGGTCCTGAAAAATAAACAGAAGTGTCTGGATTGTCAAAGGATTAAGTGATACAACGTTGGAGCCGGTTACAGATTGGGGGCTGGGACAAAGCCATAGAGGGATTTAAAGACAGGGGCAAGTATTTCAAATGTGATGCTTTGGAGTAGAACATGCCAGTTTTACAATAACAAAGAAAGGAATAATGACTAAGCAACAGTTAGCAATGGAAGAGGTTCTTCTTATCATTTGGCAGTTCATAGAGGATGAGAGTGGATAGCCACTGAGGATTGAAAAGGGGCCAAAGTGTGGTATTTTGAAGGAGTTATTCTGAAAATAACAGTGATGGTGTTTGAGCAAAGAGAACTATTAATATTAGTGAGTTTCAGGGCAAGAAAGATGATTAACTGGTCAGAACTTGGGCAGGGAGGAGGCAGTAAATGGGACGCACAGAAAGAAAGAACTATGACAACAGGAAGTGGGACTGAGCAACTAAACACTACAGAGTATTGAGAAGTGTGTGCGCGTGAGTGAGAGAGAGAGCAGGGTGAGAGGGGTGTGGGTGGGATGGTGAAAGGATGTGAGAGAGTGGGAGAGCATGCACTTGTGAGAATATCAAGCAAGGATTGATCTGAGCTTAGTCATGAGGCTTAGTCATGTTGCACTTTGCAGTAGAACAGTTACTGCATTTCGAATTTAATAATTTGCACACAAAACAAAGCAGTCTGAAAGATTTGAGAGATCAACCACAAAGAAAGGTGCCTTTTTCTTCTTTGTTCCTTAAAAAGGTCTCTGGCTTTTTAATGGACAAGTATGATGACAACACTCACTCACCTCATGTACAGTACAATCAGACCTCAACGAGGTACAGTACTGAGTGACCACTGAGCTGTAGCCCAGTTCAAAGGCAGCACCCTCAGAAGGAAATGAGTAACATTAAAAGAAGAAATCCAGAATTGTACAAGAAATACTGAAGAGGCAGACAGCTCTTTGATGGTGTACATGTCCATTAAGCTCTTGTTAAAACTGAGCTGACTCATTTACTTCCACTATACTGAGCATGATCTGTTAACTGTCTCACCCACACAGCCACTCAAAGTCCAGTATCCTGTGGGAGTATACAGCTACTAAGGGCTGCTGTAATTGACTCAAACCATCAATTTTTTTGTTCTTTAATACACTTTGGCATGACAAGAGGCACAATGTGTACTTCACATTACATACTTATTTTTCAAAAATGCACAAGTACAGTAGAACATCAATCATATAACTCTCAGTATGAAGAGGTGTCAGATTACGAACCTGTGAAAAGGAATACACTGACTTAAAATAGACACTGGGGATTCACGTAATGTCGATTTAAGCGTTAGACATGAAAGGAAAATTCTTTTCCAAATAATACTTAAAATCTCCAAAAAAGAATTAACTCTTGCAAGTATGCTCCCGTTCTCTCATTAGGTTTTCAAACTGAGCTGTGTATAACAAATAGATAATTTCTCTCATTCTCTCTTTCAATATCTTTCACATTTATTTTATTATTATGCTGTTGCTCTTTGAAACCTCTTCCCATCACTCCTCCTTTTGAGCTGTAAATTTCTCTTCCTGATTTTTAAATTGAGACTTAACTTGGCTGTACCACAAGCTGCTTGTATCCCCAATTGTGGTGAACTTCAAAGACTCTTGAATACTAATCTTGCAGTATCCAGGACATGATCCAAGCCTATCCCAAGACCAACAAAATAAATTCACCATGTTGCTACGTGTGGGACCTTGCAAAAATTAAAGACGGCTGTTGCACTTTGCAGTAGAACAGTTACTGCATTTCGAATTTAATAATTTGCACACAAAACAAAGCAGTCTGAAAGATTTGAGAGATCAACCACAAAGAAAGGTGCCTTTTTCTTCTTTGTTCCTTAAAAAGGTCTCTGGCTTTTGGAACCAGGAGTCACAGCTTAATGATACTGGGTAGGCAATTTAGGACTAAAATGAGCAGAAATTTCTTTACCCAGAGAGCAGTGGAACACCTTGCCACAGAAAGTGGTTGAGGCCAAAGCATTTAATGTTTTCAAGAAAGAATTAATTCTTAAGTCCAAAATGAGCAAAGTGTATGGGGAGAAAATGGGAACGGACTGAGTTGAATGATCAGCCATGATCATATTAAATGATGGAGAAGGCTTGAATTGTTGAATGGTCTATGTGCCTACTCCTGTTTTCTGCATTTCTATAGAACCCAATCCTGTTGTACTCTTTCTTATTTACCTTACGTTCTACCATGCACTCTTGCCTCGGGTTTCTGAACAACAAGAACTGCATGATTTTCTGACATATATATATAAAATACCAGGAATGGCATTAGCATTTATTTAAGGAAGAAAATTGCTAAGATCCTCACTTTAATCTAAGGCATTTCTTACCGGCATGGCAGTGTTGGGGTCCTCGCCTGCCATAAACTGGACTTTCACCGTAATATTCCGTACAGACCCCTGACGACTGCTGAAATTCAAACTCTGTAGGTAGACATATAGTAGATTCCTAAAATGAAAAATGTCAGAGATGAGGAGTGTAGACAACAAGCTGTGAGCCAGACTTATAGTGACCGGCTGTCCTGACCCATTAATTTTGCCATGTGATAAATATATCCACTGATAACAATAGCTGCAATCTCTCAAAGACATCAGAAACAGGGCAATCCATTTGTCTGAAACATGGAAGCAAGTCATTATCTGAACAGCACAAAGTACAAAGAAACATCAAAAATGGATCTGCACCTCGATTAAAGCAGTCAACAAATCCTACCTGGCTGTCACGAGAATCACTCAGAAAACAAAATGCCTTTCAAAATTCTGAAGCTTGATTTTACCAGACATCTTGGATCAGAAACTCAGAGCAATTAGAGTAGTGAATACACCAAAATGGAGATCAGCAGTGTTGACAATGAAGAGGATGCTGGATAGATACTTTTCAGTGAAGAAATGAGAAATAGCAGAGTGTATTGTATGTTTATTGACTCATGGGTCAGTCCAGACCAACTGCAGTGGTACCTTCTAAAATGTTCTAAGAATTCTGGCAATGACATACAGACCTAGCCCATTGAATATCAATCATTTTGCTAATTCCCTTGAGATTCTTGGTTACAGTCTCTCAATCAGAGGCATGACAGGTTCAACTATTCTTGTCTAATTATCAGGATCATTCATAGTAATCTACAGAAGAGACAGACAGCAAGGAACACGAATGAAGCAAGCTATTTTACGTGGAGGATCAAACACAAAAGTAAAAATAAGCCTAACAGTAACTCTATTACAGCAAATTCCAATTTAAAAAATCATGTGACTTGAAACCATTCTTTCTGCTAACTCTCATCTCTGCTATCTTTCATCAAGCGACTAACAACTCTCACCTCAAGGCTTCACTGCCTGAGCTCTGGAATCTCAAAATTCCCTAGCTTCACTCTTATTTGTCGTTTGAAGACTGCCTTCTGAAACCATTTCCTCAAAATGCTGATTTCCCAAATTCCCCTCCAGGTTCATTGTGTTAGTTGACACAAATAATCATCTCTCAACTATTGTAGCTTTCTTTCTGATCTCCATCTCTGGCAAGAGTGTAATGGTATTGTCACTGGATGAGTAATCGAGAGACCCATATTTGAGGACAGATTCTGAAATCTGAATCCCACCATGCCAGATGTTGAAATTTGAATTCAATTCATAAATCTGAAATTAAAAACCATTCAAATCGTGACTATACAACAATTGTCAAGAAAGGCCACCTGGTTCATGAATATCTTTTAGGGAAGGAAAACCTGCCATCCTTAACTGGTCTGGTCTATATGTGGCTCCAGACCCACAACAATGTGGTTGATGCCACAAAGAAGTGGCCTAGCAAGGCAGTCTGTTGTATCTAACTGCTAAAGTAAATGACTTAAAATTAACCAGATGGACTACCCAATATCAGTCAAGTCACAGTAAACAACAGCATGCACAGTCCTTTCAAGCCTGAAAAGTACTCCTTACTAACATCGTGAGGCTTGTGCCAAAATAGAGAGAGCTGCAGACTTCAGATGAGTAACGTAACAATCCAACATTGTCTGTAAGACTGTATGAGAAAGTCTATGTCTCATATGCCACTATCACCATCCCTGGTACGCCCTGTCCAACTCGGAAAACAGACCTACCATACAGCAGTACCATGGTGGTTTAACAGTAGGCAGTGAGCTGCCCTGGGAGTTCTCAAATTTGAGATGTACTCTTCACACCACACAGCTGGCAGACAATGACCATCTTCAACAAGAGGAAATCCAACCATTTCCCTTTGATATTAAATGGCATTACCATCACGGAATCCTCCAATATCAACATTCTGGGAGTTGCCATTGTTATTAGTCTTCTGAATGGATCTTTCAAATTTCAAATCTAATGTTAAGCTTGCTTTTTGTACACCTTCTTTGCAGCCATAACTTTGTATTCCTCACTCTGTTCAATCACTCTATGATCTTTGTGCCTTTGTATGTTATGATCTGCTGTATTGCAAGCAAAACAAACCTTTTCACTTTACTTAGGTACATGTGACAATAATAAATCAAATCAAAACAAAATCAAATCATTGACCAAAAACTGAACTAGACTAGCCATATAAATACTGCGCCTACAAGAGGTCAGAGGCAGGAAATTCTGCGGTGAATGACTCAACTTCTGACTCCTCAAAACTTATCCATTATCTACAAGGCACAGATCAGGAGTGCTATGGAATACTCTCCACTTGCCTGGATGAGTGCAGCTCCAACAACGCTCAAGAGATTTAACACCATCCAGGATAAATCAAACCACTTGATTGGTACCATATCCACATTTACATTCACTCCCACTACCAGTGACGTACAGTAGCAGCAGTGTCTATCATCTACAAGTGGCGCTGTAACAACTTACCAAGGCTTGTCTGACAGCACATTCCAACCTGTGACCTCTATTGTCTAGACAGACACCACAGATGATGAATGGGAAAGCCAGTACCTGCAAGACCTCCTCCAAGCCACGCACCATCCTGCCTTGAAGTATATTGCAGTTTCTACAGCGTCAGTGGATCAAAATTCTGGAACTCCCTCCCTAACGATACCTACACAACATGAACTGCAGAGGTTCAAGAAGACAGCTCAATATTAAATGAGGGATAAGTAATAAATACTGGCTAAGCCAGCAATACCCACATCCATGAAGCAAAGCAAAAAAACACACCTCTAATCTCTCTTTCCTCTCAAAATTGTGAAGGATATTCTCCAAGACACTGACCAAGATCCCCTTCTGTAATCCCTGCTGTTTTGACACAATTGCCCTCAGGAACAGATTCTATTCTAACACACACTGCACAGCCTACTAGGAATTTTTCTTTGGCCCTTTTCTCATCTACGTATTGTTTGTAGGTGATGTCACCAGCCAACCGAATTCACAAGTAAGCTAAGTGACAATACTTAGCGCGACCTCTAAACCACCTTTTCTTACCCCACCACTAACTATGATATGCTGTGCCTGCCTGATTCAGTCTTCAAAGAGTCATAATCTGCTTATGTTGAAGACCAAGACCACCGAAGCCATTCGATATATAAATTCATTGATGCCAGTTTTACAACTACAAAATAGATGTCTAATCATCAAATGCAACAGTTGAAGCGGGTGCAGACACTTGAAGCTGGAAGTGCACCAAGCAGCATACTGATGAAGGCCCAGATTCAGGTGTGAGAAACTGCCCCAAAATGTACACAAGGTTGTTATTTCCATGCAAGGGGCTGACCTGTGGGAACCCTATTCCTGAAAACAGGCTGCTGCTGAATGGAGCATTGGTTTACTAAGTGGCAACCCAAATCTTTTGGGTTTTTCAACAAGAAAATTCTCTTTATGAAGCTGAGATCAAGCAGTTAAAAACCTATTTCTTTTGCGGGCATTGATCCCAATTGATAATAATATTAAGCAAGTTCGATCCCAGAATGAGAACTAGCTTGGTAGACCATAAGTTTAATTTTTCTTTCTATTTACCATGGAGATTTTTCACTGATCACATTCACAAGAGGCCTCCAATACACTTTTAACAAAAGAACATTGAGCAGCTGCAGTTCTTTCAGTTTTCAACCTCTGAATGAACTTGTTTTAGCCTGAATTAACCTGTTTGAGATACCATTTCTCAGTTGTTGTGAAACTCAACACCCTAGGCCTCCTGAGGAGAACTTTGCTTTCTGTTCACAGAATCCCTACAGTGTGGAAACAGGCCCTACGGCCCAACAAGTCCACACCGACCCTCAAAGCATCTCACTCGGACTCATCCCCTATAACCCACCTAATCTACACGTCCCTGATCACTATGGGCAATTTAGCATGGCCAATCTACCTAGGCTGCACATCTTTCGACTGTGGGAGGAAACCCATGCAGACACGTGAGAATGTGCAAACTCCACACAGTCAGTCACCAGAGGGTGGAATCGAACCCAGGTTCCTGGCGCTGTGTGGCAGCAGTGCTAACCACTGAGGCACCGTTGTTCATTTAGCTAAAGTCACATAATTTCTTGGGTATGCTCTTTTAAAAAAAAAACTCAATTCACAATGAGTTTCTGACCTCTTTTAAAAAGAAATCACACCTTCACAGAACTGAAAACTAACATCTGTTTTACCTACTCTTTAGAACCCAACTTCCAAAATAAGAACAATATACCATGTACCTTCCTCACGCCATGAATTACAAGCTAGTTGCTGAAAACTCCATGTCAATAACGAGTAGCGACAACAATGAAGGCATAAATCAATCAGAACTGTATTACTAGGAAGAATAATAAAGGAAGAATAATAGAATAATAAAGGGAGAATAAACGAAGAGCTGAGGTTGTGTTTCAGGATGTCATTCTAGGGACGTGACCGTACACACAGTGGCAAAGACTCAGGCTGACACTTTTTGTCAGTCTTGAAACCCAACACAAGTAGCACCCTGGCAACCAATGATGTCTTTTGTATAAAACATGTTCACCAGATTGATCATGTTGGTCCCTGCCCACTGATTAGCTTTTGTTTCGACAGGTTGAAGAGTACTGCCTTAACCTTGGCTCCAAAAAATGCCTTTTATTAACCACTCCTCCTAATGAAACAATGTACAGCAGGCATGAAGAAACAATACTGTGAAAACTGACAATATAGTATTGTCTGACACTGTTACTATGTTACATTTCCTTGTTACAATCATGCCCCAAGAATGATTTACAGTCTTAAACGCAATCAGGTCTCTTTGGTTATTCATCTCAACAGAAATATTTGATTTGAATTACGTCATAGGAAGAGAAGGAGGCCATTTAGCCTTTCAAACCTCTTCTGTGAATTAATACATTCGTGGCTGATCTGCAACATAATTCTGTATCCCTTAATGTCTTGAGGACAAAAATCTATAAATATTAGATTTAAAATTAGTAATTGGCTTGCAACCAAATGCCATTTGCAGAAGAAAAGTGATGAACTTGTATCATCCTTTACATGAACAAAATTCCCTAACTTCTCTACTGAAAAGGTTTACCTTTAATTTTTTAAAGGCTGTAGTCCTAGACTCACCAGCCAGCAGAAACAGTTCGTATTTACCTGGTCTTTTCCTCTTAATATCTTGAAATTTTCGATCAAATCACCTATGAATCTTCCAGATTCCAGCAATACAAACCTATTTTGTGTAATGTTGCCTTGTAGTTTAATCTTTGCTGTCAAAGTATCATGCTGTTAACTACATGCTGATTTCTACCAAGGCCAATGTATCCTTCCTAACGTGTGGTGTGCAGCATTGATCACAGGACTCTGGGTAAGGCTTTGTGTCGCTGAATTATGACTTTACCTCTAGCATTCCAGTCTTCTTGATGCAATGGCCGGTACTCCATTTTCCCATCAATTATTTTCTTTACTTCTTTACACCATTTTAATAATCCGTATACCTAGATGCTCAAAATCTTCACCATACCAAAGTGTAATCCTGAAATTCCCTGTATTGTTTTCTGGAGCACAATGTAAACATAGATATTGTTGAACAAAGTAAATCTCTTAAAAGATAAAATTTTAGGAATTTCTTTCTGATAGTACAGAGCCTAACTTATTCCCTTTGAGAAATAAAGTGTTCAACAATAAATAAGGAATGCTCCCTTATAGACATTTTCAGTATATTAGTAAATATCACACGACATATCTTCATTGAAGATTAGGCGGTTAAATTGCTAAACAGCCTTTACACACTGGAAAATGCTAATAACTCTCGTCAATTATCCTGGGGATACTTGAAGTACTGTACATTGGAGCAAGAACACTTACTGGAGCCCACACCATCACTTCCAACCTTAAGTAAATGTACAGGAAGAAATCTGTGTTGCATCTGCTCTAACAGCTGTCATTGCTCACACTGCCTGAAGGGTTCTAGTACAACATGTATCGTACCCAAAACAAACAGCATCTTCGGCACCGTGTTAACCCAGATCTGCAGAGAAGGTCCATTAGAAAGGCAGACACACAAAACATGTGTTTCATTAGCGATTACTGGAATGTGTGGCAAAACATACACTTTTATAAATGCACACCAGATTTTAGGTTTAACAGTAATTAATCAGAACTGAGAAGTTAATCCTACTGTTGGTACTAATATTTCTGTTTTATAGTTTTGCAGAAGTTTTGAGCTATGCGTGTGTGTGTGGGAGGGAGGGAGAGAGAGTGTGCGTGTGTGTGT